TAACGTTGCCTGGAGGGTACGACAGGGGAGCGTGGGGAGATAGGGAGAGCTAATAATTATGAGTACAATGAAGAAAATATCCTAAAATTAATTGTGGTGATGATGTACAATTCTTCTTGATATGATTGAGCTATTGAATTGTATGATGTGTAAACTATATGCCAATAAAACTTTTTACAAAGACATGGTAGAAACTTAAATGCCCATTGATAAAGGACAGTGGTCAATCTGAAAAGGTTCCATACTGTATGATTCCAAATATATTCTCAAAAAGACAAGACAATAGAGTCAATAAAAAGATCAGTGATTGTTAAGGTCTTAGGGGAAAGTAGGGAGGAATGACTATGTGAAACCCAGGGAATTGGGGAGGGCAGTGAAACTATTCTTGATAATACAATAATGGTGGACATTTTGCATTTGTAAGAAGCCATCCTGAAGCAAAACACCCACTGTCCTTGAGCCATTCCAACTCATGGTAACCCTACATAGGGTTATTTTTTTAATCATTTTATTAGGGGCTCATACAACTCTTATCACAATCCATATATGCATCAGTTGTGTAAAGCACATTTGTACATTCATTGCCCTCATCATTCTCAAAACATTTGCTCTCCACCTAAGCCCCTGGCATCAGCTGCTGATTTTTCCCCTCCCTCCCCGCTCTCCTTTCCCTCATGAACCCTTGATAATTTATAAATTATTATTTTGTCATATCTTGCCCTGTCCGACATCTCCCTTCACCCACTTTTCTGTTGTCGGTCCCCGAGGCAGGAGGTCACATGTAGATCCTTGTAATCGGTTCCCCCTTTCCAACCCACCCTCCCTGCACACCTCCCAGTATCGCCACTCACACCACTGGTCCTGAAGGGATCATCCGCCTTGGTTTTTCAGGCTGTAAATTTTTATGGGAACATATCTTTCTCCCACAGAGTGGCTGGTGAGGTCAAACTGCTGACCTTGCAGTTATCAGCGCAATACGTGACCCACTAATCCATCAAGGCTCCTTGCAAAAAGCCATAGAACTATCTGGGTAACAGAGCAAACCTTAATGTAAACTATGGACTTTAGATGATAATGCACCGATATTCATTCAGTAATGGCAACATATGAACCACACTAATGCAGGATGTTAATAACAGGTAGATTGGGAAGGCAGGGAGTGAAGCAATATGGGAACTCTGTACAAGCGGCTCAGTTTTTCTATAACTCTAAAACTGTTCTACAAATTTAGGTCTATTCGTGGTTTTTAAAAGTCAATCCAGGAATCTGTCTTTAAAATAATCCATTCTGGAATTTTGCTAAATAAAAAATTTTTGAAGTTCTTTGTGTTTGAGTCTCACTTCCATATGCAATATTTTCTTGGGATTCGTATTTCCTAGGTCATTTCTGCCTGAATTGGGGGTGGGATAGTGAGATTCCACACATACGTCCTTAAGCTTCCATCTGTTCTCCAAATGATGTCCCATATGTTGTTGATGTGTAGCGTTTTCATTGTTGACATTTATGAATTGATATAATTTTACTTTGATTTCCTTTTTGAGTTGAGTTAATTATGAGGCTGTTTAAATTTCCAAGTGGTATTTAAAAAGTTACTAATTCCAGTCTATTTCTTGTTTGTTTACACATGTGATTTACATATCTTCTACTTTTGGAAATTTATTGAGATTTTTTTCCTTAGTGGTTCTGTACATAACCAATATTTCTAAGTATTCTCTAGATATTTTGCAAAAGCATATGCTTTTCTTATGTTACAAGGTTTGCTTATTTTTGTTCCTATCTACACAATGTCAAGTTTTTTACTCCATAAAACCTTGAAATATTTTCCCCATATTTAATATCATACTGCTTGTTATAGAAAAGTTTAGGGCTATTCTACTGCCATAATATATTATATTTTTATGATCATAAATAATTTCTTTATCCCATATAATTACCTTGAATTGCATTTTGTTTAATAACAGTATTGTATTGAATGTCTCTTTAAATTTTTGCTTGCTCGATATATCTTTGACCATCATTCTATTTTCAAATAGTGATATCATTTGAATTTTAATGTATCTCTACTAAGAAGTACATAATTGCATTTTAGAAAGACTATATAAATCATGTTTTTTCATTAACTATGTTAAAGCCATTGCTATTTATTGTGACACATAGCACTGGTTTTATTTTAGCCACCTCATTTTGATACTTCTACATTAAGACTTTCTTGGTGTTTGGGCTTGTTTTTTCGATTTTGTTTGATCATGAAACTGTGGCAGGTTTAAAATATATGTGTTCCCTAAAGGATATCCACATCTGAATCCTTAGAACCTGTGAATGTTACTGTTTTGGGGGAAAAAAAAAAGAATTTTATCCATCTGATAAAATTAGATATTTTGAGCTGGGGGGAGTATCCTGAAGTAGTTGAGTGGGCAAAGGAAGAGAGACAGATGTGGAGAAGGACAAATGACAGTAGATGTAGAGATTGGAATGATGCAGCCACCAAACGCTGGAAGAAGCGACGAAGAATCCTTGGTGAGGGCGTCCTGAGCAACACCTTGATCTTGGTTATCTGGCCTCAAAATGATAAGAGGCTAGATTTCTTTTGTGAGAGCCACCCAAGTTAGTTGAAATTTCTTACTTAGGCAACTATCAGGTTAACTTTACTTAGTGTTACTTTATTCTATCACAGTTTAATTTTTTTTAATTCTGCTTATTATAACTCAAATTATCTCTATCAAAAATAAAACACAAGATATCTAAAGATGAGAAATATAAGAATTCGTACCTTCATTCTTTCCCCTCACTTTACTCAGTTTTTTCCTGAAATAGTCCATAACTATATCCCTAGTTGTTTTGTTGCAATGCATTTTTCTAATTCCATTGTTTACAGTAACTGTTACTATTCTATTTCCCTCCCTCTTCTTAAATTCGTAATTTTAGAACAATTCTAAATCTGCTGAGGTGGATTTTAAGGAAGTGTCTCTAGTGTTATATTTTCTTCTTTCTCAGGTAGCCAAGAAATTGTTCTGTATCTTGGCACATGGTTGATATTTACAAAATTCTTGGATCACAATTTTATTTTATTTTAAAGCACTGCACATAGCGTTATGTTGTTCCTGGCATTATGACAATTGGAGATGACTTTCTTTTAGGTAACCTTTCTTTACTTTTTACCCCACCTACATGTTCGCATCGGTTTAATGCCTGCAATTAAATACTCATCGACTCTGTCAGAAAGAATGTCTATTACCAGTGACTTCGCTGTGAGGTCCCATCTCTTACAGCTCCTCCTCCTGCTCTGGATTCTGGATTTGCACCATCCCTTCACTCGAGATGGTCATGGGTTCGGGGAGACTCGGGGCCTTCTCACCACGATGCTCCAGGGTTGGGTGTTCTCTTCCCATCTGTCATTGATCCATCCAATCGGTACTGATGCCGCATCTTTGCTGGGTGTCGCCAACCTCTATGTTTCTGAATTTATGAATCACCCAACAAATTGTTTCTTCTCCAAGGAGACAATTGCCTTGATAGTTTCTTAAATTTGGCCATCTTTTTTCTTTCTTTCCATCTGCCACTTTTTTTTGTTTTAACCAAAAGACAAATTTCTTCTCATAGTCCTCAAGGAGGTCTTCAATCTCTAATCAGAACTTCCCCTTCTAGGACCTTCCACGTCAATGCTAGAATCTATTTTTGGTCATGTTAAAGAAATAAAAATAATAAAGAACAACAATGTAATTGACTATTTTTTTGAGCCAGTAAAAAGAACACAAAGATACAGATTCAGAATACAGGTTATTGTCAAAGGCGCGCGTTTCTATTTCATTTTAGAAGAAAGTCAAAGGCTCACACTTAGATTCCTGTTTTCTAGGTACTCTTATATTTGGGAGAAAGATGAGGCTGTTTCAGAGAGGATGAGGAGCCCTGGGGGCATAGTGGTCACACATTGGGCTGCTAGCCACAAGGTTAGCAGTTCTAAACCAGGAGCCAACTCTGCGGAAGAAAGATGGGGCTTTCTATTCCCATTAAAAGTTGCAGTCTTGGAAACCCACAAGGCAGTTCGACCTCACCCTACAGGGTTGCTCTGAGTTGGCATCAACTCGATAGCAATGAATTTGGTTTGGGGTTTTAGTTCCAGACAGAAAGTTGAGATTATCCTCAGGCTTGGTTTTTATATCTCTTATGAAGGAGCTTCAAAAAGTTCTTGGAAAAATTCCATTATCTTTTCATTTCATTTTTCCACAAACTTTTTGAAACCCATTCATACACTTTGACCCTCAAGTTATGAGGCAGAGATGTAGCTGGGAAGTAATGAGACCTCAGTGTCTGAATCTGAAACATTTGTGTCTGGATCATCCTTTCATACACATTTCATTTAATTACATTTTGAATATGCTCTTCACATAAGAGATATTCACCTCTTATATCCCAATTTCCTTATCTGTAAAGTCTGCCAATCATACAGTCCATAAAATAATTAAAGGGAATGAATAAGAAGAACAAAGAGAGAGAACTTGTGCCTGAGAAACAGATGTACCAGCAATAATGGTTATAAATGATTCTAAACAGCACATGGGTGCCCTGAAATTCCCCGACCCTTCTTTTATCTCTCAACAGCTTTCACCAATAAAAAGGCAAAGGAACTTTTATTTCTAATGATTGTGGCATATCAATGGTGGTGGGGGGGGGAATAGTTAAACTTGAAAGGTCAATTACAAACAAATGTACCATGCAAATGTCAATCTGGTCTGATCCTAAAAGGTGGAGTTAATAAGCAGCCCAGAGAGGGAGGGGCGAGGAAGAGATGGAAGCATCCTCAGCTGTCACAGCTGCGATGTAAATCCAGCACCAAGAACAGCTGTCCACTTCCTGGCTCAGAGTCAGCCAACGCCACCTCTAGTCCAGTCCTTCCATGGTCCGGGGCCTGGGATTCTAAACATCACGCAATGCTAGTTTCTCTCTGCTATGCGCTCCCCCATCTCTGTGAAGTTATGCACCTGCTTCTGTTCTGTCTTCAGGTGGTGCTGCTCTACGCCTCGACCTACGTCCTGGTGTCCCTCAGTATAGACAGGTACCACGCCATCGTCTACCCCATGAAGTTCCTGCAAGGAGGTGAGCTGGCTCCACCATGAGCTCTTGTGGGAGGACTCATCCTGGAGGGAGGGTGGGATTGCTTTCACCAACCTTTCTGTTTCACAGAATGTCTTGCTGTTGCTGCCGAGAATCTCAACTGCAGAAGATGCACCAATCCACCATGTTCCACACAAACAATTCAGTGCCATTCATTGTTGTCTTCAAATTGGGTAACCCTTTTCGGAGTTCTTCCTCTCCCATTCACACAAATTCACTGTCCCCTAGGTTGCCTAGCTAAGCTTTCATGGTATTGCTCTCTGTAAAATCCCACGTAAATAGATTTTAAAAGAACGCAATGCCCAAGGCAAATATTCTTTACTAGTTAAGCTAAATTATTCATAGATTTTGAGAAGATAGCCGCTAAAAAACTGTCAAGTTGATTCCGACTCATAGTGACTCTATAGGATGGAACAGAACATCCCGCTAGACCTTCCGAGGGTGTAATCTTTGCATAAGCAGACTGCGACATCGTCCTTCTCCAGAGCAGCTGGTCCATTCCAACCACTGACCCTTCATTCTGCAGCTGAGCACCTAACCACCTTAAGAGGACTTTAGGGGATATTTTTGGTATAAGGTTTACTAATATATTATTAATAATAATACCTTACACATTCTTTCTCATCGTCCTCCTCCCTTTCTCCTTGAAAGAAAGACAAGGCTTTCTACTCCGGTAGAGTTACAGTCTCAGAAACCACAAGGGCCATTCTACCCCGTCCTGTGTGTCAAAATCAACTCAATGGCAATGAGTTTGAAGTGAGTTTTCTCCCTTTCTCAAAATTCTCTGGTATCTCCTACCCCATATCATGGGTATGACTGTCCAAAAAGATGCAAATAAAAAAGCTTGGGTGCCCTCAAAAAGGCTGGTAATTCCCAGGAACGATCCAAAGTCACTGTAGCTCACTCGGCCGTCATTCACCTCAGGACTAATATTCTTCTCCCTTTTCTTTTAGAGCAGTATTGTTGCTACTATTATAAAAAGCATACTGTTTTATAGAACTCTTCTGATATTTTAAATATAAAGATGGCTTGTTTTTGTAACATAGATATATGGCATATATTAAGGGAAGTAGATGCTCAGGGGAAAAGTTCAGCTTTGACCCCCTGACACAGTCTGAATTTCTCAGCAAATGTGTCTCGGGCACATTTGGCCATCAAAGGAACACACCAGGAAGAGGGCGGTGGTTGTTGTCGGTGCCATCGAGTTGATTCTGATGCGTCACAACTCTATCTACAGACAACAAAACAAAACCCACACCCCTAATTCTCTGCCCCCCCGTCACAATTGTTCTTCTATCTGAGCCCATTGTAGCATCCATTTTTAAATACATCCGATTGAGAGTCTTCATCTTTTATTCTGCCGTTCTGCTGCACAAAGCATCCTGCCTTTTCCCAGGGATTGGTCTAGCCTGATAACATGTCCAAAGTCTCGCCATTTTTGCTTCTAATGAACATTATGACTATACTTCTTCCAGGACACATTGATTTGTTCTTTTGGCACTTGATGGTACTTTCAATATTCTTTGCGAGCACTACAATTTCAATGTGTTCATTCTCCTTCAGGTTTTCTTATTCCGTGTCCAATTTTCACATGTATATGCAGTGATTGAAAATACCATGGCATGGGTCAGGTACACTTTTGTCCTCAAAGTAACATCCATGCTTTTCTTTTCTTTTTTTTCATCCATGCTTTTCAACACTTTAAAAAAGATCATGTGCCACAGATTTGCCCAATGAAATGCATCATATGATCTCTTGAGCATTGATTGGGGATCGCAGCAAAATGAAATCCTTAACAACTTCAATCTTTTCTCCTTTTATCATGATGTCAACTATTGGTCCACTTGTGGGGATTTGGGTCTTCTTCACACTGAGTTGGAATCACTACAGAAGGCTGCAATCCTCGATCTTCATCGGCAAGTGTGTTAGGCCCTCCTCACTTTCAGCAAGCATGGTTGTGGCATCTACATATTGCAGGTTGGTCATAAGCCTTCCTCTAATCCTGATGCCACATTCTTCTTCATATAGTCCATCTTCTCTGATTATTTTCTGAGCATAAAGATTGAACAAATATATGGAAAGGATATATTGTCTTAAGACTATCTGAATTCTTTTACGGTTCACACAACAGAAGGCCTTTGCATCGTCAAAAAAACACAAGCGAACATTGGTCTGGTGTCCTCTACTTTCAGCCAAGATCCATTGGATATCAGCAATGCAATCCCTTGTTCCACATCCTCTTCTGAATCCAACCTGAACCTCTGGCAGCTCCCTGTCCATATACTGCTGCAACCAATGTTAAGTGATCGTCAGCAAAATTTTACTTTCATGTGATATTAATGATGCTGTTCTATAATTTGCATATTCTGTTGGGTCACCTCACTTTAAATGGGTACAAATATGGGTACCTTCCAATCAATTGGCTTAAAAAGTGTTGCTTAAAGTTTTCCTAGCATAGGAGAGTGGTACTTCCAGTGATTCATCAGCTTTGTTGAAACATTTCCAACGTCATTCCATCAATTCCTGGAGCCTTGTTTTTGGCTCATGCTTTCGGTGCAGCATGAGCTTCTTACTTCAGTGCCATTGGTTCTTGCTCATATACAACTTCTTGAAATGGCTGAATGTCCACTAGCTCCTTCTAGTAGTGTAACTCTGTGCATTCTTTCCATGTTCCTTTGATGCTTCCTGCATCATTGAATATTTTGCCCATAAAATTTTTCAATATTCCAACTCCAGGCTTGAATTGGTTTTTGTACTTGTTCTTTCAGTTAAAATCTGCTGAGCATGTTCTTCCTTTCTGGTTCTCTAACTCTAGGTCTTTGCACATTTCATTACAATATTTGACTTAGTCTTCTCAAGTTGCCTTTCAAGTCTCATGTCCAACTCTTTAACTTCATTTTTTTCCTTTTGTTTTAGCTACTCTATGATGAGCAAGTTTCAGGGTCTCCTCTGACATTCATTTTGATCTATTCTTTCTTTCCTGTCTTTTTAATGACATTTTGCTTTCTTTGTGTATGATATTCTTGACTCATCACACAGCTGTCAGGTCTTCTGACATTAGTGCTCAATTCACAAATATGTCCCTGAAATGTTCTTGAAATCCAGGTAGGATATGCTCAAGGTCATATTTTGGCTCTTGTGGACTTGTCTTCATTTTCTTTGCTTTCAATCTGAACTGACGTGAGAGCAATTTACAATCTGTTCCACAGTTATCCTCTGGCCTACTCTAGCTGCTGATACTTATCTTCCTCATCTCTTCCAACAGATGTGGTCAACTTGATAACTGTGTATTTCATCTGGAGATGCCCATGTTTACACTTGACTTTCGTGGTGTTGAAAAAGTTATTTATGATGAAAAAGGCATTTGCCTTGCAAGATTCTGTCATGTAATCTCCAGTTTCATTTCTGTCACCAAGGCCATACTTTCAACTGCTGTTGCTTGGTCTTTAATTCCAACTTTTTCATTCTAATCGCCAATAATTACCAATGCATCTTAATGGCACGATTGATCATTTTAGACCGAAGAAGCTGTTAAAATTCTTCAATTTCTGCATCACTAGTTTTAGTGATTGGTGCATAAATTTGAATAATAGGTATTGACTAGATTTCCTTGTATATGCTATCATAGACCGCATTAAACTTCAAGATAGATATTGAAATGCCCTTTTTTGACAATAAATGCAACACCATTCCTCTTGATTGTGTCATTCCCAGCATGTGATTTCCTGACATATGATTCAAAATGACCTATATCAGATCATTTCAGTTCACTAACACTTATGAAATCAGTCTTTATGAGTTGTATATCCTTTTTTCTGGATTTTAATTTTCCTAGATTAATACTTTATATATCCCATATAATAATTATTGATATATTTTTACTTTCTTCTCATGTTGAATTTTGTCCCATCAGCAAACAAAAGTCCCCAAAGCTTTCCTCCATCCATATCATTATTATTGAGTCTGTTTTGATAAGGCAGCTCTTCCTCATATTATGAAGGCCTTCTAACCTGAGGAGCTCATCTTCCGGCACTGGCAATGTTCTGTTGCTAATTTTCCTAAGACGTTCCGTATCTGACAGTGTTTTGGTGCTATTCACAAGGGTTTCCATCGCTGTTCCTCTGAAGGGGGTAGCTTCTTGGTGCTCTGTCCTTCTTCTGGAAGCTCTGGTGAAACCTGCTCACGTTGGGTGACTCTGCTGGTATTGAAAATGCCAGTGACATCGCACCTAGCATCACAGCAACACACAAGCCACCATAGTATGACAAAGTGACAGACAAATGGTGGGAGAAGATGATGCAGTCACTTAAAATGGAAACAGTTCTCCAAAGGTATAAAATTGCTTATCTGCTAGATATATGTCACAAGGACTGTCTCCATTTACTCGAAATTCTTTATTCATTTCTGAAGAGTTCTTAATTCATAACTGATTTTATTAAAAGGTTTTTTTGTTGTTG